ATTTTGGAATTTTCTCGGCGAGGAAAGGGTTTTGGGAGCCGGGATGGTGATATTCGTGATTGCCGTCCGATTCTCTATCGAATGGTGTATAAATCAACCAAATCTATTTGTTCACTACATCTTTGAATGAGCTGCATCTTATCTGTGTTACTATCCGTGGTAAAATACAAGGCAGGCGGTTGCTTTTTGAGTAACTTTTAATAAAAAAGAGATAGAGGCCTGTGATATCCACTGTTTCATAGCCAAGACTTGTGAGCATCGTTCCACAAGCAAACATTAGATGAAATAACCCATTTGTACCTATATTGAGTAAAATTAAAAATTCATAACCCAGCCAAGATCCATCCAAGATACGTCAGAATATCAAGATGTACTCTATTTTACCTGCTCTATATGATGCAGCTCAATAAAGCTATAAAAGCCAACAGAAAATACTTTGGTTTTTGAAAGGGTTTTCTAGAAATCTTTCGAAGTACAGCAATGTGTTTTACTGCTTTCAAGTAAAAAAACATATAAAGCAGATAAAATAGAGTACATCTTGATATTCTGACGTAATTTTGATGGATCTTGGCTGGATTACGAATTTTTAATTTTACTCAAATATAGGCATAAATGGGTTTTTTCACCTAATATAGATTTTTACTAGGGTTTTGCAAGTGTTTTGAGAAACAAATATTGCCACGAGATTCAGCATGGTCGATTACCTATGTTTCCATTTATTTTCAGAATTGTCAAGCCTAAAGAAATACTGATGCTGGGGCTCTCATTTCACGCCTGAACCGGAAAAAATTAAGGGTTTGCTTGATTTCCATTTTGCAGACGACACTTTGGACTAACTATTTATGAAGAAAAATCGACCTATTTCTATGTCAGTTCTCAGAGATCCAAACTGGTTTTCCGAAGATCTGCTCAAAATCCAGCTTTTGAATCTTTTTCAAAAATCATTTTTGCTTGTGAAAAGATGCACACAGATTTTGGCCATCGAATAGTGAAAATCACAAGTCTCTATCTATTTTCTATCAAAAGTTACTCAAAATGCAACCGTCTGCCTTCAATTTTGGAACGGATAGTAATTTTTACTTTTGATAGTTATTAGGATTTCAGTTATCTAACTTAATAAAATAGACAAAATAAGAAATCTAAATTGGATAGAAATTTTCGAGTTCAAAGATTAATTCTTTATCACTGAATTATTTTGGTATTTCGATTAATTATTTCTGATCTCTTTATCCCTTTAAGGGTAGGAGGCTGACATATTGGTTCCCGCCAGCAGCAGCCGCAGATAGCGTAAGAGAAATCTAAGTTACATCAACGACGTCATGCTGAATAGAATGCTTCTCAGATACAAAACAAAACGGGAATTTACCTTAGACATATCTTATTTTATTTCTTATGTGAATAATTTACAAGGATCCTTCGAAAGAATTGAATAAAAATTTCTTTTGCCATTTTCGACTTCCCGGATACCATACTGGACCATATCCTCATTAAGCTCATTAAGAATGATCACTCACTGAAAGGATTTTCATGATTAACAGCTGTAATCTTTAGGGACAAGTCAGGTGAGAGAGTCTTGATAAAATTTATGAGCCATTTGATGCTTGCTGAGGAGCAATTTTTTTATTATTGTCAAACGTTTTACTTAAATGCATTTTAAGGCAAAGGAGATAAAAAGTAATGTATAGTAGGGTATCTTCTGCAACTACTTGCAGATCTGTGAATTAACCTTATTTCCATTGAAATCGAGCCATTTTGTAATGAATTGGTATTCATTCATCGGTTTCAGGCCGAAGAGACTGAAATAAAGAGTCGAAGTGCCATGTTCAATATACTTAGGATAATATTGCTCCGCTCCGCTCCTTTGAAATTGAACGGATCGACGTAGAACTGATTTTGGATTGGAATTCGTTATCGACGTAGAGACTAGATTTGAAAAGCCTAGCCGACAGTTAAGAATGTCCAAAGTAGCAAAAAGCGATGAGAAAAACAATAGGTTGGAGAGAAATGCTGCAAGTCATCCTAGTCGTTCAAGGGAGATGTCCGAAAGAAAAAACAGGAGATAAAACATGCTTTTATCTAAGAAAGATGCCACGCTTGGGAGTAGTTTTTTATAAAGAAATTTAAGAGGATCAAAAGACCGATTCCCTCAAAATACACGGGAGAATGGTTCACCATTGCTGATGGCATATTTTAGGTTTTTAACATCACTAAATCATTGTGGACAAAATTCATTTTATCCAAATAGGTTTCATCAAAGGAAACCGATTAATATTTATTCAGCTTTTATCGGTCAGACAGGTAAGAAATAGCTTGTTTCACATTAGTCTAAAAATCAAACATGCATTTGGACTTTCCATTTCCTTAAGGTATTGAATTAGAGTATTGAATAGCGAGCTTTGCCTTACCAGAGATAGCTGACGTTTCTCTAGATAACTTGTAATGTTGTTATTTTTCTCGAGTTCAAACTATGTTATTTTGGTTAAGAACTAATCGAGCGTCGAAAGAGTTAGTTGTTATCGACTAAACCATTCATAATATATATAGTTAAGATATGAATCCATCCGAGCACGATTTCATTTATGGTTGAAAACGTAAGATTTTTCCTTTCGTCGCTACGTAAACAAAAGTTTTCCGTCTCATATAGGGGTGGGGACAGTTGCAGTTCAGTTCTTTTGAACAAAAAAATAAAAATTGCAATAAACCGGTGAACCTCCTTACATTGACCATCTGTAGTGCGCCAGAGGCGGGTAGTATGTTTAGTTCACTAAACCAAGTCAATATAACTAGCTTCATCGGTTTTATTTCATTTTGAATTCTTGAAAAGAACTAGTTACCAGTTCCCGTTCAACGGGCACTGAATTGGTGGTCAGTTCTTAAGAACTAATGCAACATTACTGCCATAAATTCATCGAAATATTTTACCGTTTTGTTGAATTTTCGACCCACATCGTATTTTCTACGGTATTTTTTGATAAAACATGGTAGAAACTTCGCTATGACATCTCATTTTCTAGACAACCGGACGGGCTATGTAACGGGCCGGTTAAAACATTTATGGATGGTACAGTGAGGCAGCTAGATTTTCTAGAAAACCGAAGTTTTCAGAAATCGTTTTCTCAAGACTCAAAGGTGTCGTATAATTCTTCTTTATCGAACCAAATAGAGTTTGATGCACTCTTTCTTATGAAAATAAGCTCAAGGTTCTACGTTAAGGAATGGGGTTAGATGTTTCATAAGTTAGGCCAAATCGGCTGCAAATTGACGCAGTTCCGCTGAGAGAGTAAAATGCCAGTTATTTTCAAGTCACTTGCAGACTTGACGATTTCTTCATTCGATTCAGCTGGTTGAACTCTACACAAACATCTTTCACAAGCATTTTTTTACATCCAAATTTCTTGGAATGTATCAATTTGATCGAATTTTTTAACAATGTTGCAAATACATCTTGTTAAATATGCATTCTCTTTTATTTTTCATTAGAAAAGTGATGGTTTGGACTCAACTGAGATACAATCCATGTTTTAATCAAGTATCTCAGTTGAGAATATCTCAGTTGAGAAAGCAATATTTCTGCGAAAATATTCGTTTCTCAACTGAGATACAATTTTGACATGTGCGTTGAAACGTGCAATTGTGCAAGAGTACAGTGTACTAATGAAATTAGGTATATGATGTATCTATATTAACTATCTAAGGAATTAGTTCAACACGTATAGCTGTTATTTCTTCAGCTTTTTGTACGTTCATTATCCAATTCTAAGTGCTTGAATGTATTCCTATATGTCTGCAATTGAGATACAAAACTATAAAACTTGGGAACTACTGACATTCAGAACTTACGCATTTAACTGTTGATGGTAGCCTTCTACGTGATTATTTGTACGTGGCCTTTCTTCTATTAAATCAAAATGGTTCCATTTTTCTATAGGAAATCTCGCATGTTCAATATAATTTTTCAATATATAATCTGTTAATTTTAAAAACTTATTATCTAAATTACTAGGTTCTTCAACTATATCTACAAATAATCCAGTCACATCATCCGGTGGCATCAATGGTAAACTCAGAATATTGGCTAATTGTTGACGTATCTGTTTGTCTTTATATAATTTTACCAATCCTAGAAAAGACCAGACTGATTTAACCGGTCCTTATTATACTTGCCATGCTGCACGGCTTACCATACTTTTGAATTCGTTTCCAGATATTTTGTCCAAAATGGAAATGACATAATTTAACATCAATACCTGGGAAGACAGCTTCAAATGCATTAAGTGCACCTTGTTCAAAATCAATGAGAACTGATCTTGGAGCTAAAGTCACACTTAAGCTATCGGCATATCGAACTAATGGTCGAAGTAATTCTTCATACAATTTACCAAATTTATTTGGCATTGCGGCAAAAACTAGTGGTTTCATGCTCAAGTCATTCCAAGCATGGATACTATACGATTGATAAAACATTTTGGGAGCAGTCCGAAATGTTCCATCGGCGTTCCAGTGTTCACATGATCCTGGAGAAAGAAAGTGTTCACAAATCTACCTGCAATATCATCTAAACTTTTACCTAGAAATCGCATTGCATCTGGAGAAGCAAAACCTAAAATTTTATCATTTCCTGGTGTATCACAAAATAAAAAAAATTGTCCCATTGATGTGATTTTTAAAGGTGGAGGAACAACAATCGACGATATTGATTTTGGCAGCGGTGGCAAAACTGATTGTCTTTTACGATATGCTGTTGGACGAATATAATCAAAAACCGGCACTGCAGAAGCTGTTCCATATTGTCGTCTCTAAATTGCAGCACATATATCTGCTCTTAACCGGACTAGTGCAAACAGAATTTTAACTTACAAATTTTATAACTTCATCATCATAAATTTGTTGAATCGGTGTTTTTCGATCTTCAACAGCTTTACGCTTAACACCAGATATAACTTGATCAAAATGCGCCGAAAATTGTGTGTTTTTATGCGCATGGATACCATTTAAACACATTATTTCGGCGTTTTTTAAAACAATTGAACAAGAACAATCATTAACTGTACAAACCCATCTTTCACTTCCATTTTTATTCGTACGTTGATGACGAAAAAGATTTTCTTGAAATAATATGGCAGGAGCGGCTCTTTCAGTTTCTTTTCGAACAAAATCCATTTCTTTTTAGATATGTCTTATCACTATTTCACATTTATACTATTGAATAATAGACCTTAGTACACTGCACTCTTGCACGTTTCAACGCACGTGTCAAAATTGTATCTCAGTTGAGAAAATCGTGAAGTCCATATTTTATAAAATGTATCTCAGTTGAGAAACGAATATTTTCGCAGAAATATTGCTTTCTCAACTGAGATACTTGATTAAAACATGGATTGCATCTCAGTTGAGAATATAATTTGTATCTCAGTTGAGACGTTACGAAAGTGATGCAAATAATATAAATGAAAAATCACATTTACGAAAGAACAATAATTACAAAGTGCATAAAGAACTGTTGTCAAATGTTTACGAAGAACAACAGAATCATATTCCACAACCGTCAGACTATAGTTTCACCTCTCCGCCTCTTGTTTTACGTGCCTATAATAGCTCAATAACACGACATCGCAATCAAAAAAATTAAAGTTGAAATGAAACCAGTGAACCTACTTACGTTGACTTTGTGTAGTGCATCAGAGGTAGATGGTATGTTTAGTTGACTAAACCAAATCAATATAACTAGCTACATCGGCTTTATTTTATTTTGAATTCTTGCAAAGAACTGGTAACCAGTTCCTGTTCAAGAAGAACTGAACATGTGACTAGTTCTTTCGACCAGTCTTAGGCACTATGGGAACTGAAACTGTCCCACCCCTACACTTGAGAACAGGATTTCAGTAACCTCGTAGATGGTCGTTTAGAGTCAATTCTTCTTAACAAAATTCGAAGAATCTGAAGTCTCTAGCTGTTTTTGTTCTTGAGTTATTTAAAAAGCTATTCGAGAGCTGGTTAGTCATACATTTATTACCAGTATAACGGAAAATTTTATATTTGATAATCTAGAAGAATTAGTTTAAAGTATGAGAGAATGGTAGATATTTCATAAATTTGCTGCAAATTCAAATCTACTAACCATCTCGATAAACAAAATGTTTATTTGCGCTGTTTCTGCTTTAGTGTGACAAACAAATCAGTTACGTGTTGTACGTATTACACATAACTTACAAAATATCTAAATCAAGCATTACTGATACTTTGCCACTAATGTTAGAAGTATTAGTGAACAATATGAAAGACTTTGTGAACGTGTCAATTTTATGGAATTACATACAATTTTCCTGTTGATAATGTTGAAATCACCCTTGGTTCTTTATAAAAAAATTTCTAGAAAGCGAGTATAGTAGTAGTATGTTGAATTTCCGAGAAAATCTTAGGGTGAACTGTGTCAGATGACGTCATAAGAATTCTAGAAAACAGTCGACAACAAAAATCTACACCAGAATTGTGGTACATAATATTTAAAGGTCTTGATGATCCAGATGAAAATATCAGTTTTCTGTGGACTAATTGCAGCATTTCGTTTCCATAAACGAAAATATATCACTAAGATAGGCATCAGCTTAATTTGCTTTTTATGTATTTCCTTCGAAAGTTAGAAAAAACATTTATTCTATAATACACGTGCCTACATAATCTCAGCCATTTGTCGTCAATTATAATCTTTTAAGTACCGATTCTATTAATATTATTTGCTGTGAATTAATTGATTATGCTTCATTATTAATCGATCGTGTTCTCCGTTATGAACATCCAACAAGTTTGTTGGCGTTGAGCATGTTAGCTGTCAATTGTTTCACACATTCATCGCTTTATTTCTGTTATATAAAATAAAAATATATATACAACGAATGTTAATGTAGATGACTCAACAGGATAGCATCGCCACTTAGGACGAAATAATAAGTATTAATAAATTTGACAATTCGAATGAAACAAAAATAATAATAGAAGAATTTGGTGACATATCATACCACAACCGCCAACATCAGCAATATATCCAGTGACGAATAATGATGGATGTCATAGTAAATGTAATTAGATTTATTTTAATCTTAGATGTGGAGCTTGACCTAATATGAAGAAGAAAATAAGTACTGTACCAATTAAAAATAAATAAACTAATAGACGATCGAGAACACGCCCTAATATCTGCCATTCTTGGCCAATATTCACATTATGTTCTTGTTGTTGAAGTCGTTGATCGTTTTGTTTAACTAGACGATGAATATATTCGATGGATTTTAAATAGGATCGATATAATGTTTGATCATATGGTTTCGTATAATTGTCATTAGATATGTGTAGATGATTACGATCTCGTGTTATTGAGCTATTATAGGCACGTAAAACAAGAGGCGGAGAGGTGAAACTATAGTCTGACGGTTGTGGAATATGATTCTGTTGTTCTTCGTAAACATTTGACAACAGTTCTTTATGCACTTTGTAATTATTGTTCTTTCGTAAATGTGATTTTTCATTTATATTATTTACATCACTTTTCTAATGAAAAATAAAAGAGAATGCATATTTAACAAGATGTGTTTACAAGATTGTATGCTTATGTTCAAAAATTCGATCAAATTGAAACATTCCAAGTAATTTGGATGTAAATGTACTAGAAATCAAACACTTGCAAACGGTTACAAAGTTTCAAAGGTACTTCATCAAGTGCTTGAACCATCTTTTTATAAACCAGTGCTGGACAAATATCTACTAGAATACTTATGAAAATTCATAAATTTTCTCGAAATTTGATAAATATCTGTGTTACTTGTAGTAGTACTTCATGATGTAGTTATCAAGCTAATAAGGTACTTGTATTTCTTAACTTCACTTCACAAGTACTTTTTTTACTTGCAAAAATAGCTAGGTACTATGAACATTACTAATCCAAGCACTTGCCTAGATACCCGTATACAAATACATTCTCGATCGTATCTATATTTACCATAACTTTAAATCCTCTCTTCTGTAGAATTAAACGATCAAGCCATTGATCTGGTACATCAATTTTCATAAATAATATTTTAGGTAATATTGAAAAGAAGAGTTGTGCCATCCAGCTGGGAACAGAATGTGAATAATGTTTTCCATGATGATATAAATTGAGTGAAGCCACTGACATAGCTGTGGCAACAGAAACAATAATTATTGCTGCTCCGTAATAGATACCTACGGAAGAGAAATAGCACTTATATATTATTTAAACAAGAGAAAAACATACCAATTAGTGGCAATGCGTCTGAATTAGGTGGCATCGATTCATTAAGCAACATCAAGAAAACGGTCATGGATAGTAACGTTGTAACACCAATACTGACTTTTTCTCCCGAGTCCGACGGTACACAAAATCCCAAAAAGGCTACAATTGTAATTAGAAAACACGGCAGTAACATGTTGAATACATAGAATAATGGGCGACGTCTCATTTGTATGGTATAAGTTAAATCGGGAAATGTTTCCGGACAACAAGAATATTTGACAACATTTCGTTTCACATGTAAATAGATAATTTCCCATTCTAAAATGCCACCAATCAAATATCTAATACAAGCGTATCGAAGATAAATGTGTAAATATCTTACCTGAATTGGACATGAAATTTGACATATCACCCTGATTTGATTTTTGCATTAAATTCAAACGTGCTGAATCATAAGACCATGAGGCAAATTTTAATGTACAATTTTGTTCATCAAATGGAAAATATCGAACATCAATACTACAGCTTGAATGAAATATTCCCGTTGATAGCCACTCGACCATGCCCTCTGAATTGACCATAACATTCGTCGATATTTGACTTAACGATGCTAATTTATCGGCATTATTATAAAGAACAACGTCTGGTAGCCAAACTTTATCATATTTAATGTGCAATAAAGTAACATTATCAAAATCGTTGGGATTCCAAGTTAACTTAGGATCAAACCATTTCTAAATAAGGAAGGTAAAAAGAATGTGATTCAAGA